GGAGGAGACGGAGGAAACGGCGGGATGGGGGGAGTGGAGAGCTTACCTACTCCTGCTGGTTCCTCCTACGCCTGCTGAGTTTCAGCTCCCCCCCCCGCGAGTTTCGCGGGTCTTCTTTCTTGTCTCTTCTAAGAAAGGTTTTTTCTTTCAGAACAACTGCAGATAACATTTTTATGGCCCTTATCTCAGAATTTTGTATACTTATTTTTTTAGAAAAATGTATATGCTGCCTCTCCAGAGACCTGTTCTGTAGCAAGGTGGTTAGCACAATCTTCAGTACAAAATATCCATTCCCATCTACCATATGTATATGACTAATAGAATAGGTGTAAAACATGACATTTTGAGGCAGTAGAATATGGGGTTGGTTTATATATAGTTGCTCATGTATTGATAATTGCAGTGTCAAATGATGGTTTACCTGTGTGAAAAGGCTACCACAGATGGAATTTTTATGTCTTCTCCCATCATCTCAGATACATTGCATAGTTCACACATGTATGCATATGAATATCACTTTGATTCCTACAGAATTATGAGTAGCAGATGTATTTTTATTTTATTTTATTTTACATTATTTATAGTCTGCCTTTCTCACTGAGACAAGAGTAGATTACAAGATGTAAATTAATGCATTGATAGGATGATAGCATCTAATAAGCAATGTCATAGAATTAGGAACTGCAGAAATTTTGAACAGGAGGTGTCATCTGAACAGAGCATACGTATTAAACACAACATGTTAAACAATGCAGATACATGGAATTACATCAATATAAACACAGTGCATTTTCCAGGACCAATATGTTGTGATGTAGCCCCATCTTTATTATACAAATACCCTTCTGAACAATACTGTTTTACACAGTTTGTGAAATGCCAGGCCATTCCACAAGGTGGGGATCACTAAAGAGAAGGCATGTGTATGGTAGTTGTTCATTCTGCCCATCTGTAGTGTGGTACCTTGCTCAGTTGAGTGGAGCTGTCATGGCAGGACATGGGTGGACAGGTGGCCTTGCAGATATGTCCATGAAAGTCTTTGAATGTGATTGAATTGAGCTTGATAACTCATGGGCAACCAATGAAGTGACTGAAGAATGGTTGTAATATGCATGCTCCACCTAGTTCGCGATAATAACTAAGCTGAAGTATCTGAGTTGATGTCAAGGGAGCACCTAGCTGGAGTGCATCACAGTAGTCTAGTCTCAGTGTTTCCTTGACATGCATCCACGTATGTGAACTGACTCCACTGAAAAGGATTGTGACTGAGATGATACAAAAATTCTGTCCCTCATAGATGTGATGGCCCATTCACACATGTTCACTGTAATCAAGTGAACACGCTGGAGGCTTTCTTTGTGCTCCCCACACAGAGTCATTATGACTTGCATTTTGTCATTTGCTGATTATAGTGAAGCACAGGTATTTTTGTTTAAACAAACCAGTATAGGGTGAGCAGATGCAAAGATGAATGGTAATCCTCTGCTGAAATTTACTGTTCTGCACATACATTAAAGGCCTTCCTTTGCACTATTTGTATATCTTAGATTAATAGTGGTTGGTCTGGGCTTCTTTCTGGACAACTCACAGAAAGGCATGCAAAATATTGCTTCTAGCTCTGCCTTTCCACTCCAAGAATGCTGCCAATGGAGTCCAGGCAACCAGATGGAATTCTAGAAAGTGTATAGTAGGGATTTATTTGAAGACGCTGAACTGCAGGCTGTGGAAGGTCAGTAGTTCAGCAGTTCAAGACCCGGGTGCCGCAAGATAGGGTGAGCTCCCGTCTCTAGTTCCAGCTCCTGCCAACCTAGCAGTTCGAAAGCAAGAAATTGCAAGTAGATAAATAGGTACCACTTCGGTGGGAAGGTAACAGCGTTCCGTGCGCCTTGGTGTTTAGTTATGCCGGCCACATGACCACGGAAACGTCTTCGGACAGCGCTGGCTCTTCAGCTTTGAAACGGAGATGAGCACCGCAACCCTAGAGTCGGATTCGACTGGCTTTCGAGCAAGGGAACCTTTACCTTTACTAATGAGGTGGGAGTTGTTAAGATTCCCTGAATATCTGAGACTAGGTATCTCATCTCCTACTTTATGCAAAGCCACATATATGCATAAGCCCTAAAACATTGAGCAGTTGCATTTACATACTGTGTTGCTCAGGTTGTATTGCAAAGTCTGAAATCAACAAATGTCCCTATACTGACATCATGACAGATTTCCTGGATGGGATTCTGGCTAGTCAGCCAAACACTGTGATGCCTGATCCTGATGTTTACATTGCAACAGCAGAAGAACTAAATGTGTTGATCCATCCAATTGCTTATTCATAAAATATTTACAGTGCCGAGATTAATGACAAGCAAGTTTTGATTGTATAAACCACACAATGGTTTTGTTGTTCTCCCAAGTTCCTGTGAATGAAACTCTTCTTTAATTGGGAGCAACTGTCCTTTGTGCAAGTTCTACCTTTGGGTTTTGCTATAGAGGTGTGAAGAGCAGAAGGTCACTTGTCCAGCTGCTTTCAGCGCTTGCTGTGATATCTGAAGCCACTCAATGTTTGTAGCATAGAAGGAAGAAGTAACTGTGGGGAGGTGTATCTTTGTGCACTTAGATATGGCACATCATGGAAAGAATGTGACACTGAGATCTTTTTCTCTGTAGTGCCTTATAGGGATATATATCCATTTCAGCCTCATGATAAACATGCTTGATAAAACCTGGTTTGTTCCAACCACTGTTAGTTGTGATATTCAAATGCAGACTTTTTATGTGGGGCCAAACTGGGATCTCAAATCAGGGTTTGTAGCTTGTTTGTTAACCACAGTTGGTACTAATTCTGAATTCACAAAGCACAGTTTGTTGAGCAGTACCAGCCCTTGTGGTTGCCTGGCCAGAGAGACAACAGCACAGGGAAGATATTATCCATACTAAGAGGCAAAGAAGAGGCAAGAAACAAAGAATCCAGGCTTTACCCATGAACAGGGATTTGTTTTTACACCTTTGTTGCACAAATCAGGGTTTAAAATATTAGCAATCCATCATGATATCTGAATATAGCATAACATTACTAGTAGAACTCTAGCATTTTGGTAGTGTGTATCCTATCACTCTGTGCACGGAATGCAGAGTTTTCCTGTTCTCTTCTCTGTTCATGCATCCACTTCTGATCTCCAGAAGGATAATTCCAGGGATCATGGGACCCGCTCAGAGGACTAGTTGTACAGGTTGGGGGGATGGAATAAAGAAGGACAGTGGGTAAAATCCCTCCTCCTTCATCCACAAGCACCGTTGTATTGAGTGCGGGACCCCATTTCACTCCAGCCCACTAACCCACACCCATTCATTGGTGTCTATCCTGCAACCATAGGAATGCTCTTTCCTGGGCTTAAAAGGGGCTGTTAAGACCAAAAGGAACGAGGAAAACTCCACCTGCCTACTCTGCATGGATGGCTGGATATACACCACCAGTATTTAACTTTCCAGTACAATTTCAGTGAATTGACTATGCAATGGGGATGAGCCATCTTACTTGCCTTGTGCTACTCTTTGTGTCCTTAACAATTGCACAAATCTTTAATATAAAGGTATTTTAGAATAGCAAGTGTAGGCGTCCACAACAAAACACTGTACTTTCCGTAGGCCAGGGTTTACAGTGATCAAATCTTGACCATTCTGACAGTTCACTGATATTATTTACCTTTTCTTTTTTCCAGGCCCTTGTACTGACATAAGAATGAACGAAAGAAAAAAACACAAAAACAACCCTTTGCCAAATCAACTGTCAACAAGTGGACAGAGATACCGTTTACAGCTTATAACCTTTGTGAATCCTGTATTATTTTCATAATGAAACAGACTGTTAATGAGCCCCAGAATCCTAGTGACAAACTGCCTTTTCTGGAACTCAGTGCATTCTTGAAGTATGCAAAATCTTCCTACCGTGGGATGGGCAAGCACCAACGTGGATACCACATTCAGCTACCATCCTGCTTCAGAACACACTGTGTAGCCTTTAGGATAGTTTCTTTGTCGAATAATATATGGTGTTCCAATATGTCACTGGGTTGCAGAATGCTTTTGGTTGGCTATTTTTTTGCCCAAAGTTTAGCCCACCCCTACTCACCCTCTCTAAGGTGATACCCCCGTGCAATGCTTTAATTGTTCCTTTTTCTCTTTTTACAAGCTGATTCCTCAGATACAGAATAATATATGCACAATGAAAAGCTAAATCAGTTTTGTTTCAGTAGACCAATACCACTTGAATGCTGCAGCCTTTATAGGATCGCCAAGTGATTGGATTTAAGAGGTAGTTTATGGAAGGGTTTTACTGTTTTTGGTTTGGGGTTTTTCCCCCTGTTTGGTCAGTTGGTTCTAACTCGGATCCTACAACCCTCAAGTAAGTCTTTTCCTAAATGCCAGGGTATACCTTCTGTTTATTCTCAGCATCAGGAAGGTGGATTTTACCTCACAAAATTAGCCACCGCCAATGCTGCGTCCTCACCAGTGTTGAAAAGGTATGAGAGAGAAGGCCATTTCAAAGTGTTAGTCACAAACTAACTTGCTGTTGGTCAGATTCAACCTAGCCTTGTGTGTTGTGCTAACATGTTCTGCCCAAACAGCTGCAATGAATTTTATTTTTCATTTGCCTGTATGGCTTAGCAACTGGATGGTATGAAAATGAATAAGTGAAGCTGCAGTTTATCACACCAAACAATTTGACCGTAACCATCTAGAAGGCAACAACTTGCTTTCAAATAATAATAATAGTAATAATAATGATGATGAAAAAATATAAAAAAAAAAGGGTAGACTTAATGCATTTTTTAAAATAATTTTGTGTATACACATCATCCAGAACTTGGGTGATTTATTACAATGATAATTATTTTTACATCCTCTCCTTGACTGGTCTTTCCTTCTCGTGAATGTGTCACTGAGACCTGAGAGGAGAAGCTGAGGGGTGGCAGGAAGGAGAGGCAAGGAAGGGCAAACCATACAGACAGCTTTTCTTAGGAGCGTAGACTGTAATTGGATAGATTCCACTGAAAATAAAATAGTTTTTATATATTTTGCTTATATGGGTTTCTTTTGTAAATTTTAATAGTAATGACGAACAACAGTGATGGTGCTGTGCAGATCCTCTCTTCTGATTATTTTTTACTGGTATCTCTTTTGTGGGGGAAGGGAGGAAGAGACACAGAAGGAAAACCCAGTGGTACATTTTAAATTTTTAAAAAATGGAGTGAAGACACTTTGGCTAGGACAATGTATACCTTTCTCGCCAGAGTGATATACGAAGATGTTTTTCTTGGCATAAAGACGTGATGCATATAAATATATAAATATATTTTATTATGTACAGAAACAGATCATTATGCATGAGTGTTAGGAGAACAGACTAGCATTTTAACCCAAAGTTTCAGTGCATGAGTTTCCACTGGCACATGAACCATGTACAATGTGGTGCAACTCCCTTCAGCCACTACATGCAAGTGTGCGTGTACCCATAGACATACACAATCACGCACACACACATCTGTGGGCTCCATATTGCTTCTTCTTTCCCAACCCTCTGAGGTAAACTTCGTGAAATCACAGCTCCTAGTGTGATGGAAGTTTTGTTTTGTACTGTAGCCTCTTCATGCTCGTGCTACGCTATTCTGTAGATGAACACGTGAACTCCATCATGCAGTTCATAAATGAATTATCTGTGCTGTTGTGATTCTAAGTAGATTATAGAACATAAACTTTCCAAACAGTCAAGATTTTTATCATTAAAAAAGACTATTTTTTTAACAATGAAGGTGGTGTATTTGTCAATGGCAGGGTCTAGTTTATTATATTTCTTTAATCAGAAGTAACCAATGTGTTCATTTGCTCACCGCATTGGAAAGGGCTTCCCCGAGAGGAAAACACTATATGAAAACATAATCTGTCCCAGGGATTTAGGAAAGGTGTCAGTTTATTTAGAGAAGCTCTGATATAGGTACCTATTACCAAAGCTAGTTAAGAATTTGCTTATTTGCCTTCACTACATAAGAGTATCTGGTACATCATCAAATGTGAATTCAGCTGACAATGTCATTTCTGTTTTTTGTTGCTGTTTTCTGATAACAGCAATGTATTTGGTGACTGACATTTTATTTGTAAAGTATGCCCCCCCCCCGGAAATCTGCACAAAAAATCTGGTACATAGAAGGTTTTATGGGTTCCACACTTTTATTTCTGTTAAGCTTCCATTTGAAGGTGTAATCCTTCAGGGAGACAATGTAGAAGAAGATTGTCTCTTTTGCAAGCTCTAATTTTATCTAGGTGATTCAGTTATATAACATGTAGACAAGATGGGTGCAATCCAGCCAAAGTTTAGCATTTTCTAAGTTCCACTGATTTTCATGGAAAAGAATTAAGTCCTTGTTGCCACCAACATCAGTAGGGTTCTAAAGCTGCAATCCTATGCATACTCAGCTGGGAATAAACCCCCCATTGAAGACAGTGGGACTTCTGAATAAACATGCTCTGGATAAGGTTTCATGTCTGCAATGCTAAATGCAACTACTCAAGAGCAATGCCCCTTCACAAGGAGCTCTCATTTCACTCAGTGGACCATTGGTCTGATGGGCTCTTCTTCTGTTCGCCACCATATATGCTTGTTTAGAAGTATGCAGACTTTCCTAGATGATAAGACATTACTTTAAAGTTGTGTAAATATGCACAGAAGCTCAACCATGTGGACTGAAATCACATTCTCAAGAGTGCAGTGGGAGTTATCCTGTTGGTGAAGATAACTGTGGCACCCCAGGGTATGTGTAAAGGAGCTGTATGTCTGACTAACAGGAAATTTCATCACAAACCAGTTAAAGGCAATTTGGTTCTTTTGGGTTTTATCCTACTACTGTGCCAAACTAAGGGTGGTGCATTCCATGGACACAAGGTGCTTCCTCCCAATGAAAGAGGCTCTTCTGCTAGCAGGATGTGTCTTGCCGTAATATAACACACCTTGTGCTGATGGAACACACTCAGCCTTTAGCTGAGCAGAGCGGTAGGATACAACCAACTTATTTCAATAGGATAAAATCAGTGTATAGAACTCCATGCTAATAAGATAAGGGTTTAATGTAGCCATATAGGATGTAGTCCCACCAACTTTGCACACATTGCACTCTAATCCTGTGCATAGTTCCTCAGAGGTTATTTCCTAATGGAGTGTTGCATTCATCTCTTAATTATAGGAGTATAAACCTGAAAAGAGATTTTGAATGTTGTTCCACCTTTGTTCTTCAATAGCTGATCTCCAAAATATGCAGCCCCTAACTGGGAGCCTGATTAAGGAATATTGCTGTTTAGGCAACTTCCCAGAGATTAGTTCCAGTTTAGAGACTGAAGTAATCTCTGTGCTTTCTGTGTCATCCTTCAACGGCTATGGAATCAACTGCTTTCTCAAAACTGCCTCTCTGAGTTGGCATCTACAGCTACTGTATATGCAAGGGCATGGAGGAGTCAGGTGCTCAGTGAAATCAAGTACCTGAATAGTCATCTCCCAGCTATTGTGCCAAGTAGTCAGGTGTCTGTTCTAAATTCAAAGACAAATGTAACTGCTTGGCAGTTACCCAGAATAAAACGTTGTTCGTCTTCAAGGTGCCACTGGACTCAAACTTTGTTCTGCTGCTTGGCAATATGACTACATTCTTGGGCTGCACATTTCAAGCCATTTCTTCTGAAGTAGTCCTGGAGTTCTCGGCACTGATAAGTGATGCGAATTTTCCAGTCCTGCAAACACCACACAAGGGCACAGTTGTGAACATCACTGAATACTCCCATCCTAAGTCCCAAACAGCATTTAAACATGAAATATTGCCCTAAAATTAATACACTAGCCATGTGTTTACAGTGTTGGGTACATGATCATTGTCAATACTTGTGAACGACCTCTGTTACTCTCATGAGTCTATGGGCAATTTCACAGATGTGTTGAATTATTTGTGGGGTTGTACTTTTAGTATAGAATTGGGTAAGTAGTTCCAGTCACCTTTGTTGAATACCAATTTGGCACAGATGCACAGACTATTTTCTTTAAATATCTATTGAGTACTTCATAGTATCCTGTTTTTAGCTCACTTCGTATTTCTTATTTGATTTCTCTCTCATGAATTAATTTCTCCAATAAGAGTTACCAGGCTATTGCCTATCATACGAATATTTTCAAAAACTAAACCTTAGAACATTTATCTCTTGGAAATTATGTCATTGCTTGGCAACCAACCTTCTTTCAGTAGTTTCTGTACATGGTGTCTATCAGAACTACCAGCAGATGTGAATGGGGACCAGATACTTTTATTTACTATGGGGAGGGATGGGGTGGGAATGTGAAATGTATTGTACATTTTGGTTTCACGTGTGAAACTTTTTTTAACCAAAAAAAGTTGCATGAATGGACAAAATATGTATACAGTATCTGTAAAACTGTCTTATCTGGGTTCTTTCTTTCACTGTCAAACCACATCCTTTTGAAATAATATTCCATCCACTGCCTTAGCGCATGGCCGTCTTTCCTAAGAGGTACATGATTTTTACTTTTCTTATGAGCTACCTTGCAGTTTCGTTAGAAAGCCAGCACTGTTGTTAACTAAGGCTTTTGTGGAAACCAGTTACTGACATGGGTGAATATACTACCTTGTTACATAATGATTGGAAGTCAGTTTGATTTGGAAATCTTCCCCATTGCAAATGAAATAGCAGTGCAGAGCTTAACTCCACTTGATGTTTATAGTAGACATTGCCTTGTGTATTCCATTCTCAATTGTAATCTAGTTTGTAAAATAAATGGTGACGCATGTAAATAAAGCATAATGGCTCTCTATGCGGAAGATGCAGGTCCATTTTTCTTTCATTACTTTATCCTTGTAAAGTTGTTTTGAAACTAGATGTTTTAAGGAGAAAATAAATGTATTAGACTCTTTTGTGATTTGAGCAGAGCCTATCTAGTACATTTTTAACCCATTTTATCTCCAAGCAGCTTAGGAAAGCTCCCTTTGCCAGTTTCCCAGAACTGCCATGTGAGGTAGGTTAGACTGAGAAAGAGAGCTGGCCCGTGGTCACCCAGCAGACTCCACAGCCGGGTGGGGATTTGAAAGCAGGTTTTACCAGCCCTATAGACCCATGGTTTCATCACTGCCTTGATCTCACAGGTCGGAATCATGTACTCTATCTTCTACACCACACTGGCTTTTTTTCTAGTCTATTTTTCAGTATTTCTCTACATTGAACCAATCCTGTCAGTAGAAAGGGAAGTCACAAAAAAGACTATCCCTTGATATACTAATTTTCTATGTGTATTTTTTTTAGTAATGTGCATTTTGCAGGATGGGAATGTGGACTTATCTAGTATGAACCTACAGACAGAGCCATGGGCTTTGTCTCAAGTTCTCGTATCAACTCAATCTGTAGTCTTACATTTAGTGCAAGTTTTTTACACGTCCCTGTTCCATAGCCCAAGTTACCTATCCATGAAATGGGAATAGTAAAACTCTAGTTCATGCAGATGAATGAAATAAAGAAACGCTGTTACCAATCTTGAGTCCTACCAATGAACTTCTGCATGTGTGTGTACGCATACAGTCACTTTAACTTGAGTAATTCACACACATGGTATATCAACATTGTTAATATTTGTTTCACACTTGAAGTAGAATGTTCTTTTATTGTTAATACAAGAGAGAAGTTAAAATTTGTCAGTTTATATAATTTTGCCTATATCTACTGTACCATTTATGTGCCAATCCATTTGTTACTGGCTGTACCACTGATTGTGTACTCCATGCTGCTTTACAATGCCTTGTGCACCCCAGCTTATGCAACCTTATAATCAAAGCTTGAGGAGTTCTCCTGAAGTAAGATTTTCTGCAGAAGTTAACAAAAACAATTAGAAGACTAGTGTCCTAGCTAATGGAAAGTGGGGGAGAAGAGATCGGTGTGTATCTTAAGTTTCCTGTATTGCTAGGTGCACTTCATATTTGAAAAGTAAGAAGAGTGTCAACTGAGAAATCCTTGCTTCATCAACTCACTTGGTGGCCTTGGTGGGGCTTTGCCCCAGCCCCAATTTGCAATGTAGAAATAATATACTGGGCTACCTTGCAGATTTGTTATATGACTGTGGAAATAATGTTTGGGAAGCATTTTGAACTCTTCAGAGATGTCGTAGGCATACTCCAGCCTCACCTTAGCAGAAATCAGCATAGGGCCAACTTTGGGTCTGTGTAGTCTGCAGTGTACTAACTGTATAGACTGGGGGCCCTATCCATGCTGCCTTGCATTCACCCAGTCTTCATTCTTGCCCAGTCAGAGAGAAACAGAGATGGAAGGTGGGCTGTGGGATAATTTGAGCTTTACCCATGCTTGAAGCTGCACCCATTAATGAAATATGTTTTAAATGTTATTAGTGGCATTACTAGCTAAGAATCTATAAGGAACTACAGGAGGAAGCAACAGTTGGGAAATCCCACCCCACCCCTCAAAATCTCACTCTCTGGGACTCTGAGGAGCTTGAGCAGGCTAGCAGCCCATCTGATCCCCTTTGACTGACACAGGGCTGCTCTTAGTGTTCTTTTGGTTAATTTACATATTCCTATTCTTTTGCATAACTGGGTAGTGACCCCAGCCTTGTCTGTGGGTCATCCACATTGTAGCCAGCCAGTTTACAACTGCAGAGATTTATTTATTGAATTTTTGAAATAACAAAAAGATAGTTCTTTTTATTTTAAATACCTAGCCAGCCCCCTCATGGGTGGTAATGAGGGCCTATGTGGAGAAGTAGGATAGTTCTAAAACGGGGGGGGGGGGGGTGTTGATTCTAAATCAATATATCACTTGCAATGCCTTACAAAGTGAGTAACAGATTTCTTTTTTTGCTACTAAGAATGTTTCCAACTGCACCTGAGGTTGAGTGTGTTCTTTGTGAGTAATCTGCCCCACAGCCCCTTGATTTGTGAGGATGGAGAGATTAAGTTTCACTTATGTAAACACCATCAGTGAATTCAAAGTTAAGACAAGCAACAGTTTGGATTGCTAGCCAAGCCACATTTAGCAGCTGCTGCTACTGATCTAGGAGACTGAAGTTGGTTCCTTATTCACAGTTCCTTATTCATCCCTTATTTGTGGTTTATTCGTGAAATCGTCCAGAAACACTGAGGAGAGTTGGAAAAGCTCTGAACCCCAAAACAAGGTCTGGAACATCACATATCATATACCCCCACGTTCAGGGGACTATCTCCTTCAAGAATATATATCCAGTTTCCTGGTCCAAAGCATGGTTCTTGTGCCAGCTGCTCCAAAGTGCAGTTCCCCGAGGACAATCACACAAGCAGAAACAGGGGCCAGGTGGCAACCCCCCAAAATTGTTGGACCAACCCAAATGACACATCACTACACTCCAAGGACTGTCCTCTGCAAAGAGACATATGGCACTGTCCAGTCCAAACACTGGTTCTGGCCCCACACCCTTCTATTTGGAGCACCTCCATGACAACCCTATTTCTAAGGAGATTTGAATAAAGAACTGCTTGCCCTTTACAACCCAAAATAAGGCTTGGATCACCACAACTCATACACCCTCATGATCAGTAGCCTCTCCCCTTCAAAGGGACATATGCTGTGTCCCGGTCCAAAGCCCGGTTCTTGTGGCAGCCTCTCCAAAGTGCAATGCCCCCAGGACAATCCCACAGGCAGACACGGGGGCAAGGTTTCACACACAAAACAATCTGTGGACCACCCCAAATAACACATCCCCACGCTCTGGGGACTGTCTGCTGCAAGGAGAAATACAGCACTGCCTGGTCCAAACACTGCCTGGTCCAAACACTGGTTCTGGCCCCACACCTTCTATTTGGGGGCCCTCCAGGAGGCCTCTTTTTTAAAAGCAATTTGAATAAGGAAGTGCCTTCTGCAGCCAAATTAAGGTTGGGACCCCCACACCTCATACACCCCCATCTTCAGCAGAGTCTCCCCTTTGAGGGGACATATGACACTTCCTGATCCAAGGCCCGGTTCCTGTGCCAGCCACTTCAAAGTGTGGTGCCCCCAGGACAATCATGCAAGCAGACACTATGGCCGGGCTGCAACCCCCCAAAATCGTTGGACCAACCCAAATGACACATCACTACACTCTGGGGACTGTGGACAAAAAATATATTCAAGTTAAAGGCTTAGGTAAAGTCTCTGTTGCATCAGATAAGGAAAAAAATAAGAAAGGTGTGGCCATATATGTAAAGGAGCCTCTTCAACCGGATTTGATATATGCCTCACAAGATGGGAGAATCTTAATGGCATCAATACAAAGACAGATTAAAAAGATGTTAATAGTAAACATTTATGCTCCGAATCAACACCAGCAAAATTTTTATAAAACACTTCAAGAACTCATTACAAAACAAGACTTTCAAGAAATTTTTATTATTGGAGACTTTAATGCTGTTTTTGATGAAAAGGGTGACAAAAAACAAATGTTCAAACACGAAAAAAGAGAAAGAAAAAGAATGGAGGAAATGAATTTCCATCTATACTTTATCATTTATTGGATGAATTAAAGGTGGTTGACGCTTGGAAAGTAAGGAACCCTCACAAGCAAGATTTCACATATTATTCAGCCAGACATAATTCCTAGTTGAGACTAGATATGTGCTGGATTTCTTCAGCAGCTGTTAAGGATTTGTTAGAAGCAGAAATTGAACCTGGAGCCAGGGCCGGCCCGAGGTGTTCCTGCACCCTAGGCAAGCGCAGATGCCAACCTCCCGGCGGGGCCCGGAGACCTGCCTGGGTGCGCGGTGAGAGGTCCGCATGTGCATGCACCCCCTTTTCCCGCTTGCCTGAGACTTGGAGAGGTCCCTCCCTGCCCCTAGCCAGTGCGCCCCATGTGAGCCAGCTCGGTGGCAGAGGAGAGGTCCCCATGCCGGCGCTTCCCAGTCCTGGCTCACTCCCCACCCTTGGCAGCTCCTCCGAGGCTTGGCTCGGCTCGGGAAGCTGCTGCCCCTAACAAAGGGATCCTCCTCGGTGGTGGCAAGGTGGGAGCAGGAGCGCTGAGCAGGGCTGCTGCGGGGGGCAGCTGGAGGCAGCGGACTGAGGGCTCCCCGGGGCGCAGGCTCCGCTGGCCATGACTCAGCCCTGGCCGTGCAGCTCAGGGGGAAGGGAAAGGCCAGAAGGGGGAAGGGAAGGCTGTGTGGCTCAGGGGGAAGGGAAGGCCATGTGGCTCAGCCCCAGCCGGGCAGGGAGGTGGTGGTGGTGTCCGCGGCGGTCTCCTGGACATGCGGGCAGCGGGGCAAAGAAGCCGGGCCGCAGAGGGGGCTGCGGGGTGTGGAGGGGGAAGGGCTCCAAAAGGCAGCTGCTCCTCTGCGGCAGGGCCCTTGGAGCTGAACTTTTGGCGGGGCAGGGGGCAGACGGCTGAGCGCCTCCCTCCTTCCCGGGTGCCTGGCTGCTCACACCAGGGCAGTGGGGGCAACTCCGGCAGGCGCAGGTGAGCTGGCGGTGGCAGCAGGACCCTCGGGTGGCTCAGTCCAGCACCCCCACGATGGCCCCGCACTCTAGGCGAGAGACTAGCTCACCTAGTGAGTGGGCCGGCCCTGCCTGGAACATATGCAGACCAAAACCCAATTAGTTTGGAGCTACAAGATGCAAAACCCAGGAACAGACAAACATTAAACACATCACTCTTGAAAAATGAGAAATTTGTAAAAGACACGAAGAAGGAGTTTAAATTTTTCTTTGAGGAAAATATACAACCAGACATATCTATAAACACAGTTTAGGATGCTTTTAAGGCTTTCACGAGGGGATGGGTGATTAAAGAATCAGCCAAGGTA